TTTCGGCGGGAGGGTGGGTGTTTTTTTTTTTTTGGAGGGGGGCCTGTCCCCTTCAAACCAGAAGGCCCCAAGAAGGCAAGCCTTTCAGGACACAGGGTTGGCTAGTCAGTGAGCCAGCATATAACACTGCCTGCTGATGGAATCACCACCTCCAATTAAGTGAGCCTTCACAGGGAACTGAGCAAGAACTGAGATGTACCAACTGGTATGCAATCACCAACAGTGCAAACACCATGGAGCAGCAGACTACATAAGACTCATACCTTGTATGGCTTTCTAGAACACGAAGTGGTGAGGAGGCAAATCTTAGGTCCCACATCTGAATCACAGGCAACCTGTCATCCTCTGACGCCAAGACCATCTGGGTAGCAACATCAGGGTGCCATGCCAGGCCTGAGCAGTGCATCTGAGGGACAACATTGTGCCACAGCATAAAATAACTAAGCAGCACTAAAGGAAAAAGACAACTAGCCTAAGTAGTTCTACATGCATGGTAAAACACTGTTGCAAAGGAACTTGCAGCTGTGTTTCTGAGCATTATTTCTGACTGCATTTAGATTGGGATACTCTCCTTGTTTCTGTGAGTGAGGAGACTTGCAGTTAGTTTCCCAAGGTCCTCTCAAAGAGATGACCTTGTGCCATCTTGTTCACAATCCTGTTTCAATGTAAGAAAACTGTAAAGCCCTCTGTACAAACCTTTTTCTCTAATATTTTTATTGATATTTTATTAAAAGGCATTGTTAGGCAGACATTATTGTCATGTGAACATTGTACCACTAGGCTGCAGTCACATGAAGAAGACAGCCTACCGTGCTGCTGTTATGTTAGGCAACAAATACGTAAAACATTGAGAATTACACAGTTTATCAGAATAATAAGAGTGCAGTGACCAAGCAGCTACTTCAGGAAATTGTAAATTTCGTTTTGAACTCTTGCTACATCTTCAAAGTTTGTTGTAGCAATATTCCATTTAAAATATACAGAATTATACAAATACATCACTCTTCGCAAGTTCAGTAGGCTCTTTTTAAGATTTACACTGCCTGAGGAGCAGGCATGGTGGTTGTAACTATATGAGGCAGCGTCCCCTGTAACCTGCTCAACAGCAACACTCCTCTGTGGTGCTCTCCACCACAGACCCTGCCCTCTCCAAGCTTGGCTGCAGCCTGTTCCCATTTCCACATCCAGACCAGCAGAAGAACAGGCCTCAGCTCCATCAGTTATCAGTGTTCTGACAGGGCTCAGCTCTTGTGCTCATCCCACCTGTGATGCCAAGGAGGAAGCCCTCTCTGCCTGAGCACTAAGTCATGACATCACCTGCCCTGCAAAACTAAATGTGCTCACCCACAGTACATCACAGCTGCAACCTCATCTCTCCAGCACACAAAACATGTCATTTCTGACTAGTTGAATGAATAAAAAGCTTTCTGTGGTAGCCCCAAACAGATCAGTAATGGCTTTCTCCAAACTAACATCACTCTGACAGGAAATCTGACTGCCTTGCCTTGCTTCAACCTGCATCTGCCTATTTTTGTTTAAAACGCTGACAACCCCTCTGCATATACATAGCCTTTTAAGAGAAAGCATTAGATATTTAGCATGTTGTATAAAGATACTGGTGCCTGATCCAGTTTTATGTCATGTAAGAAGGGGTGCTATGAACTGTCCCCACATGCAGGCAACCCACACCTCTCCACAAGCACCCATGCAGCCACGCGAGAGCTAACTCACCCGGTTATTGTGGTCACTGACTTTGATGATGGGTTCGTTCTTCCTGAGATCCCACACAGTAGCTCGGCCGCTAGGGCTGGCGGACGCCAGGATGTGCTGGACTTGCCTGTTCCATGCAATGCAGCTGATGTCCTCGAGAGGCTGTTGCACACAGAATAGCCTGTCACAACCTTTCCAAATCAAAGACTCAAAACCTGTTATTTTCAGGACTTGCTAAACGACAAATCTGCAAGGAGACTCATCTGGGGTACTGCATGTGTTCTGGTTTCCTATGTACACATGCTGTAGGGCAGAACACCTGAAAACCCTGACTTATAAGCTGCTAGTATTTCGCTGTAATATCTGCATTTTCTGCTTTACAATATGATACATCAGTTGCTTAAAGAAGACTAAGCACAACTGTCTTCAAGAACAGAAAATTACTCCATGAAAGTACATCTGGGTATATGAACTGCCCTTTTGCCTTGGATTATTAGGTTTTGACTTACTAAAAAAACGTTTGCTTGGAGGAATTCTGTGGGGCTTTTTTATTCCCCCCCAAGTGCTTATTTTTAGTCCAAGAATTAAAAGCAATGTTAACCCAGTCCTTGTTGCACTATTATTTCCAGCTGTCATTACTATTAGACAAAGTCCTATTTGGGGATCTTTGATTAAGGTGAGAATCCTCCAAAATGCCCACACGACAAACCCATTTCCTAGTAACCACAAACTTCTTGTGCAATTTTGTAACAGCTACAGAAACGTACATGCACTGAAACAACTTCCTCCCATTCTTCTATGTCCTTCACAAGGCACAAAGTACAAAAGGCTATTGTTTTTCCCCATAGATCTTCTTTAATAGACACAGGCTAAACACTGGCCCTTAAGTAGAGCAATTAAACACTCCCTGAAACCAATGAAGGTAACTGCCAAACCTACTGCCTCATCTTCTGACTTCTCAGTAGCTGCTTTTTATCTTCCTCCTATTTTCCTCAATCTGTACCTTCACGATCTTCAGATTCATGCATGCAGTGAAACATACAGAGGAAGACTAGAAGACATGTAATGGTTATGGATATTTAAAAGGTGGTGTAACCTGAGAGACTCAGCTTGTTATTACTTGTTGCTTGATAAAATGCAACATTTCTCAAAGACTAAGGGGATACTCCAGCTTTCCCTGGCCAAATACAATTTTTAAAAGAATAAAATCCCACCACATGAAGACATGAATCAACTGCTTGTGCAGCCAGCCAAAATCACAGGTCTGTTGTGGATAAACACGACTGCACATCCAGGATTGCTGCATGAGAAGTAGAGCAAACCATTCATTGCATGGACCTGCACATGCTTGCACTTACAGGCACAGCCAGGAAACTGCACTCCAGGGGCTAGAAAAGCAGCAGCATCCAGTCACCCTTGTATGCAGCTGGGCAAAAAAAATCATGGCTAGACACAAAGTGCGGCAAAATAGTGCTGTCATGACTGACTTCCTTCCAAAAGCGTTCACTGAAAGCTACCTACACTGCCGCTCAGAGAGTATTGTCCTTAAGGACAATATGTGGCTCCTGCCACATGCTTCGAGTCACAGGCATGTCACAAGGAGAAAAATATCTCAAACCCCACAGTCTAATAAGCATGTTACAAAAATTATGTACCAATAGAAGACCTATTTTTGTTGGCCTTTGGGAAAGCCACTGGAACAACATGCAGGAACGTATTTTTCTTTATTTTGATACAGAGAGATCTGTTGTACCATCCCTTAAGGACTGTATCTAACATTGCCAGAAACGTAGCTCATGCCCAAATTAGACTTCAAAAGGCTTTCCCCCCCACCCTACTTGAGACAGCTTTAAAACTGTAGGTTTCAATGAGCTCTCAACTTAAGTGACATGCATATTTTTCATTAGTCTGCTCTGCAGTATTTAACAAATACAAATCTGGTACCTGTGTCTTCACTCCTGGTGTCATAGGCGTAGCAAAATTGTTCAAGTCCCAGATATAGATTTCAGACTCATTAGCACCAGAGGCCACCAGATTACTCTGTAAGACACATTAATAGACATTAAGAGTATTTTCAGCATCAGCTTTCAGAGTCTTAGCTGCTGGGAGGCATCAGATCCACAGGACTGTGCCAATTTCTCCTATCAGCTCAGGATATAGCCTTTGGCTCACACAGAGCAGCTTAGGGAAAAAAGCAAGTTTTTTTGAGATTGCAGGAAAGACTGAGTTAATTAAAAAAACTCATACGCTGCACTAGACTGGCATGCCAAGACCAAAATTCCCGTTTTGTGGAGTGTTCCTCCACTGCACAGCAAACACCCATGAGGAGGCTGCAGGGGCACAGCTACAGACAGGCAAGTGGAAAGCAGTGACGCTTCTGGGAGGGGGCAGACAAGGAAGCAGTGCTACAGCTATCGTTGCTGCAGAGCTTTGCTCTGGGCAGACTATGACATGCAGGGCCGGCTGGAAAGGAGCATGGCATTTGGGCCTCCAGCAGCAGACAGGACCCTGCCCACAGTGAGTGCAATCATCCAGAAGCAATCCCATGTCTGGGATGCAAAAGTCCAGGCAGGGCAACACGAGCATAGGGCACCGAGTGCCCTTTGATCACATCCCATGGCTGGTGACAAGCAAGTCCTGACTTCATAACGGGCAGAAAGGGAAAGGAAGCAATTCAGAGAGGACACAATGAACACAGGGCAGCCTTGCTGAAAGCAAGTGTGCCGGGACAGAAGTGCTATTTAGGAAACAAATTCAACTGAATTCTTGCACAGCTGGTGGGGACAAGGGAAAACCAACCCACTATATCTAGAAGGAAGTAAATGCTCATTAGTGATGGAGGAAAGCTTGTTGGTTTTGAGAGCTCTTCAGCTAAAGAGGGCACGTCACCGTGTTTCCTGTTCTGCTCCTCTTTCCAAGAAACAATATTTAGAGATCTTGAAGATGGATCCTACCCAACCCCCAAAGGAGATACCTAAAATCTGATGTCACCAGAAACATGAGTGAGAGCACGTAAATACTCCCCATGTGATGAGAACAATATCAGCACAGCACATGGGAGCTAGAAAAGACGACTGGCTAAAAACACCACAGAAGACCACCTCTACTTCACATGTAAGCTGAGCTAAAAAGACCCACTAAAAATTGACAACATAAACTGACAAGGGGAAGGAATGAAACAGACACCTTAAACTCTTTCATTCCCCATCCTGAAATGCCAGTAACAGGAAGGGTTTTTGCTACTAAATACACACATACTCAAACACCAAATGCAGTTCATGCTTTTCAGGGGAGGGAAAAAAGACAGAGATTTAAGGTTACAAGTTAAGACAGACCACTCATCTATGATGGTATGTGATGAAGAACAGCAGAAGACCAACCTGGAACATGTTGACATCGAGCGCTCTTACTGGTCCTGTGTGCTTGTCTTTCTGGGCAATTATTACTTCAGCATCTCCAGCTATGATTTTAGCTGGGTCGTACAGAATGACATTTCCATTTTCACCCCCAGCAATCAGGACTCCGGAGACTCTCTCATCAGACGTCATGCTGTGCGGCCCCCAGATCAGTTTGTGGTACCTGTAAGACACATAGGTTCCCACAGTCTAGAAGCATCCACCACCAGCTCCACATACCCTGACGCACCCCATTTTGCTCACACCAGCTAAAGCCTCCAGACTGCTGCTAGCAGACAGAGCAGACACATGAGAGAAAAGCATTGCCTACACTTCTCCTGAAGGATGGGTCTCTGTACTTACAATCCCTTCCATCAGAAATACAATGTGTCCCAATTCTGCTCGTTATCAAGATGCAGGGTCATGACATGCACAACCAATAACCTGGTAACTGATAATCTCTCTCATCTCCTGGCTGCAAAATCAGGTAAGTGCTCCCACTGCACTGATTTTGAGCTCACCTTTGCAAAACAATAGGAGTAATCAAAGTAGGACTGTAAGCCCATCCAACTGCAGCATGGAGGTAAACCTTTGCTATTTGTGAGCAACTATACAAGAGAAGAAAAAGGTGGAACTAGAAAAATTCCGAGTCCTTTCCTGTATCTGTGCTTCTGGATGTGCCAGTGTTTCGTCTGCTGTACTGGAGGCCCAGTAAGTAGTTTATTCACATCAGACACATGTCTCTTGGACCACAATCTATTTTCCAGGCTAAATCAAAAGGAATTAAACATACTTCCTGAAATGAAGTATTTTCACACCACTGTGTCCATCTGCAAATACCCAAATTTCCTCCAACTCAATGAACTTGCTGCATAAGCAAAACAGCATTCCTGTGTATTCAGCCATGCAAACAATGAATTTCTTGTACATAAAATGACACAGTGTCACATATCAGCTCTTAGGCAAGCAGAAAGCAAACCCACATTGACTGGAAGGTGGGAAGGAGTTACTTGAGCATTCACCATGTTATTATTAATCTCTTTGTTATCTCTGGACAACCTTCAAGTAATTTCTTTGAATCATAGCAACTTCAGCATGAAAAAATACATACTGCAGAAAGCTAAACAAAGAGGGTAAGAAATTTTCTTACCCATATGCTGGGTAAGAAATACTGTAACAGCCAAGTGCTCAGTCTCCTAGTCCAGTGTTCAGATTACATTGGAGGTTCACCAAAGTATGATGCTGCAAACGGAAATTGGTCTGCAATATCAGACAGACCCTTTCCCTGGGTACAATTTTTATACTTCTGTACCTAACTATGCAAGGTTACAAGAAATGGAGTGACTGACAGGGTTGTCCAGGCACTAGTAGTACACCACCAGCAAGATTCAAAAGGACTTAAGATAATCGAAAATGAAGGCAGAAAACAGCGAGGAACAAAAAACAGTTAACTGTGCAATCACTTTCCTCTTGTCCTTTGCTCTTTCCAGGATAAAGTATGGCTCCATAAAAGCAGTGCAAAACTTTCCTTGGAGGACAATTAACAGAGCTTGTTGCAGGATTTATGTTTTGTGGGTTTAACCACCTGGACATTTTCATTTGCTAAAAACCAAAATAGAGCCTGATGTATACATTGCTAGCTGGGGCACTTCTTGTTATTTTTAATTAAAAACACAAAATCAACCTCCCTTGTAGCGCATTTTCTGGGACAAAGTCAAATTCTTGCGTTGCTCACCAAGGGAAGCGCTTTCAAAGGAGAACTGCATCATGGCTACAAGGAGCGTTTTTTGACATTCAGTAAACAAATGCCACTTGGCAAGCCTTGAAAAATCGTTAAAACAAGGTAGAACAATGAAACTTTAAAAGATCTAACACCTCATCCTGTTCTCAGTGGGTCAGTAGGACGTGTTAACATCAGCTTTGCCCACAGTGCAGGGCATTAAACAGAGACTGTGACTGTTTCTCACAAGCCCCACATACTAAAACGCAGACAACTGCAGGGCACAGATTGTGAGCTGCCTGCCAGCACAACTGGTCTGCCAGCCCCACAAATCATTACAACAAAACTGACATGGCATAAAGCCAGCAGCCTAACACCTTGCGCTACCTCCTGCAAAAGCTACCGCAACTGTTATTTACCCAAATTAGGACAGCATCCCTAAGCAGGGTCACAATCTTACTGCATGCAAATGCACACAATGCAACCCCTCTCACGTTGTTTATAGGCAACGTTTAACCTCTAGAAACCCAGCAAATAGCATTTGGTCAAGAACGTTAGGAAACAGTTGTAGGTCCTTAGGTCTTGAAGTTACAGCTTTAAAACAGATAACAAAGACTCAAGTCCAATTAATTTCCACTTGTCAGAGGTGGGGGAGATGGCAATTGCTTCTCTGGAAGCATCAAATTCTCACTTGAACATACTGGCAAAATGCTGTAATAGCCTGCACCTCCAGTCATGTTGCTTCGGGTCACCAGGGGCAAGAGTGGTTATGCTGACACTGTAGCTGGTATGAAAAAGTCATGGACCCAATCCAATGGCAATGAAAATTTTCACCTCCCTCTCTACCCACAGGAACATCCTGCACTTCCATCTATGTTATTTCAGCTCACCTGCCAACAAGCACCAGCCACTGGACGAGCCACCAGAAAGCTGCTAAAAGTGTTGCAGAGATGAAAACTGGATGCTCTGATGCTAACAATATTTCTTGGGACAAGCGCATGGTAAGGAACTAAGAGCTAAGTGGAGCTATACAGTCTGGAACTTGGCTTCCCAGCTGCAGGGTGAGGTATGATACCACACGCTCAACATGACCCAGTTTAGTTATGTTACAGGAATCTTCCTGAAATACCTAAATGCAAACAGGATAGGGCAATGTGAAGAGTTGCCACTGCATTTTCATAGTTTCACCTTTCCTTCTGTTCTCTGGAGAATCCCAGAGGCTCCCCAAGATAAACTGTCTGCATACATATTCAAACCTACCAGCCAATGTCAGATTTTTTTAGGTTTATGTCAGAGCATGAGCTGCTTGCAACTCCTCGGAGTCCAAGCTCATTGCCTTCACAATGACACCTCACTGTCCCACAATATCAACAGCACTCACGCACCTTCATCCTTCAGCACTGAACTTCTACTCCTCTCCTTAACAACTGCAGATAAACCTCATGAAGTAGCCTTTCCACATGCACCATGTATAACAGTTCCACAATGATCGCTTTTCCCTTATAACCCCACTCCTCACCTGTAAGAGGAAGGGAAGGTGGCGCAGGACTTCATATCCAGCGAAGGGTCCGATAAGTCCAACTCAAATATTTCTAGAGAAGCACTTGTACTGAAGGTTGCATCCAGCTGCTGAGCTGATGTACCTGCAAAGAAGCGTGCTTGGCAGTGAGAAAGCCATGATACAGAAAACAGCAACTACAAAAGCAGCACAAGGAGGGACATAAAAACATCATCCTTGCAAAAAGAGTCCTGAGATAAGGTCAGGTTTCTGTTTGTGTTATTTAGATGTAGTTCTATATAACTGTCCTCCCCATGGTTCCCCCTTTGGGGTTTTCTTAACCAATATGAACAAGAAAAGCTTTGGGCAAATACCTCTCTCCCCCTGACAATGCACAGAAAATGATCACAGTTACAAACAAGCAGCAAGGGACAGTGAACTAGCTGTTAGGATTGCTGTCACCTTACCCTGGAAGAAAGAAGGGGATGTTTGCTGTCACTTGCAGAATGCAACGCATGTTTTCATGCACAGCACAACTGTGGAACTTCACTAAAGGCACCACACCATATACCCTGCTAGAGCCTTCAGGACACGAAATAACTCTTACAACTTGCAATTATGATCACTTCGTGGCAGCCATCACATGTAGCCCGAGGCCTGCTAGCACATGCTTTCTGGGGAAACTCACCTGTGGCCAGATAAATGGGGTGCTGCTGTGCAGGGCTCCATGCCTGCATGGCAGTACGATCAATTTCCTTCAGCTTCATTTTGCTAAAAAAATAGAAGCAAGAAAAGAAACACTTAAATGGAGCATGGGGAGACTGCACTGCCACAGATTCGGCAGTTGCATTAGGACTTGGCAGAAGCAGCCAGGGTGATCGTTTTTCTAAAGATATCCCACAAACAGAGAGACACCTAAGCCATCCTCTCCAGGGCACACCTAGGAGGAAGGGGGGAAATAATTCTCCATTGGCAGAGTAACATCAACATGCAGAGGAAACATGGTTGCTGAACAGACCATAACACGGAAAAATGTGGCCAAAGCTTCAACTGTTCTGAGAAGCCCTCTTCTAGCAGCATCAAGGCACACATCGGGCACCCTACAGCAGCTTTCAGTCTTAACTCATGAAACAACCCCACCACCGAGAAACCCCCCCCTAGCCCCTCGCCACCAAATGCCCTCAGCAGCCAGCCGGATCACAGGACGAAAAAATGTTTAAAAGCCTCCACCGTCTCATTTTTGGGTCTTATTTCAATACCCTGGGGCTCCCCCCGTCTCGGAAACGCCGGCCGCACTGTCGACCGGCATCCCTGCCCTGTTTCCGGCAGGAACTAAAGGAAAAAAAGTGGAAAACGAGGGTTTCCCCCTCTCA